TTATGTACATTCTTGTATATGCATAAATAAAATAAATAAAATAAAATAAAATAAAATAAAATGAACATTACCGGTGCAAGAATTGAACCGTATGGTACTCAACTCGTGACATTCCTCCAATCCTATACATTGCCTCTGATTACGGCCCTCATTTTCTGTCAGTCGGGAAGTTTTTCATTAATGTTAGAAGCTTACCTGTCACCCCTCCAATATGTTCCAGTTTCCAGAACAACCTCTTATGTGGAACTCTGTCGAAAGCCTTCTTTAGGTCCAGATAGATGCAGTCAACTCGACCATCTCTTGCCTGTAAAATCTCTGTGGCTCGATCATAGAAACTGAGTAAGTTCGTTACACAGGATCTTCCAGATCAAAAACCATACTGACTGTCTGATATTATATCGTTTTTCTCCAGGTGTTCTACCCATTTAGTTTGAATTATTTTTTCCAATATTTTGACAATGATACAGGTCTATAATTAAGGGGGTCTTCCCTGCTGCCACTTGTGTAGATTGGAACTATGTTAGCCTTTTTCTACACATCAGCTATAACTCCTGTAAACAGGGATGCCTGAAAAATCAGTTGAAATGTAATGCTGAGCTCAGGGGCACATTCTCTCGGAACCCATGGTGAAACTCCATCCGGGCCAACTGCTTTGTTCTTACTTAGCTCCTAGAGCATTCTTTCCACTTCGTCTCTAGACACCTCTATGTGCTCTAAGTTGTTTTCTGGAATTCTTATTGTGTCTGGTTCCCTGAAGATCTCATTTTGTACAAACACACTTTGGAACTTTTCGTTTAATGTTCCACACATTTCTTTTTAATTTTCCGTGAATCTATTTCCCATTTTCAATCTCTGAATATTATCCTTTACCTGCAATTGTTGTTTATGAATTTATAGAATTGACCTGCTTCTGTTTTACGTTTGTCTGAAATCCCTTTTTACAAAATTTCTTTCTGCCTCTCTCCTCACTGCCGTGTAGTTGTTTCTCGCATCTTTGTATCGCTAGTATGTTTGAGGGTTTGGCCTCTTCCTGTATTGATTCCATTTTTGTGTCTTTTGGTCTCTGGCCCTCTTGCAATTTCTGTTGAACCAATCTTGTTTCCTAGTTCTGCATCTCTGTTTTGGTATAAATTTTTTATGCCTTTATTATATATTTCACAAAAATCGACATACATCTCATTTACTTCCTTGCCTAGCAACAAGTCTGTCCAATTATACTCACTAAAGTGTTTTCTAAGGTTGCCATGATGTCCTCTCCTGAAGTCAGGTTTTTTTCAACTGCTACAACCTCCTTATTTTCTTCCAGATTATAACGCATTGCATATTTTATTCCCAAAAGACATGATCACTTTTACCCAAGGGAGAAAGGTACTGAATGTCAAATATCTCTTCCTCCTTCCTAGTAAATATATAAATCTAGCATTGAGGTAACGTCTCCTTCCCTCATCCTCGTAGCTTGTTTAACATGTTGATACAAGAATATTTCCAGGATGAGGTCTACAAATCTACCGGTCCAAAAATCCTGTTCTAGTTTTATATGCTTCCCAGTCTATGGATTTCAAGTTGAAGTCCCCGACTATCAACAGTCGTGATCTGTCTTTATCCGTTCTCGCTATAATCTCTCTTATTATTGTTATAAGACCCCCTCACTTAATATCTAGCTCCTCCTTTGTCCATGTGTTGCTTGGCGGTTGACTATGCATTTATGATCATTAGTTTATCATCCTCGTGGCAGATCTCTAGTGCTATTATGTCAGCTTCTCGTGGATTGGCAATCATTATTTCGTTCACCTTTAGGTGTTCTTTCACCAGCACAGCAACTCCATCGCCTTTCCTAATTTTTCTGTTCCGTCTCCAAATCGAGTAGCCCCTTGGGAATATGACCTCATTTAAAATAACATCTTCAAGTTTTGTCTCTGTGAGTGCAACAATGTCTGGTGTCTGCAGCTGTATTACATTACATAACTCCATCATCTTCGATCTCACTCCATCTACATTGGTGTATACTATTTTCAGGAACATGTTCCCCTTCTCCTTATTCCTCATTTCCCCTCTCTCTCTAGCAATTTTGTTGGTTTGCCTTTTTGTAGCATTTTAGTGGCCCACCTACCCCTATCACTTTGTAGAAAAAAGAATTTATTTCTTTTTCGTTTCTGCTTTCATTTAGACGTTTTGTCTCTACGAGGTTTAGTTTCAGCTTCTCTTGAAAGATCATGTCTTAATGACCACACTTTCCCATCCTCATCACTTTGTAATTTTCTGGCATTCCTTAGTACAGTACTTCCATCTGTTTGGCACCGTTTAGAGTGATCCTTAAAGGTTGATCTTTCCCTTTTACATACCTGCCTATTCTCCTATAGTCGTGCACATTCTCTAAGGTAGTAAGACCTTCCACGAGGCCAACAATTTTATCTACTACTTTCGCTTCTTCTATAGCTCTTTCTGATCTAGATGTTATCTCCTTTTCTTTGCAACCAAAAATTATCTGGCTCCTGATAATTCATCCGGGTCCATCCAGGACCCGGATGGGCTCCGGGTCCTGGCTCTTGCCTTTTTCTTTGTTTCTTTTCGGGTGGTGCATTTTTGTTTTTGTGCTGTTCATGTCCTGGTTTGTTCTCTTCATACTTTCTTCGGTATTGCGTGCTTCGTTCTGCCCTGTTGGGGCTGCGTTCTCCGCTCCTGTGGGCTGCTGTGTCCCTGCTTTTCGCTCTGCGTTTCGGTTCGCTGTGCTTGCTTCCTTGGCCTCGGCCTGGGCCTAGGCCCTGGCTCTTCGTTTATCATCGCAATTTTGTCCTTGCTGTTTGCGGCTTCTGGGTTTTGCCTTTTATCTGCTGGCGGCTTCCAGTTGTCATCCGTTGTTGGACTTGTTGGTCCTTCAGGAGTCTGGGGGGGGGGGGGTTCCTCTCGGATGGTGCGATTCTGCTCGCTCCGATTGGTTCTTTCCTGGTTTGCCGGGTTTCCTGGTTTCCTGGCTTGTCCTGCCAGTTGGCATTTTCACGATCTCGCGGTGTCACTTCTCACGAGTCTTGTGTCAGAACCACAGTGTTTCCGATCTCTTGGCAAGCTCACTAGCATTGGGAAGTTTTCTGTATGGCAAACGTTCCATCTGGTTCCTTGCTGGCTTGGGTTTCCTGCTCTGCTTGCTCGGTGTTCGCACCCGAGGTTATCCCGCGGCTCCACCTCTTCCTATGCTCAATTGGTCCATGGCGGGGCTGGTTCGGTTCTGCCTTGAGTCGCTCACCATCTGTTGATCAGGTGACTTCGTTGATGATGTCCCACCTGCGTGCTTTGTCTCGGTGGCGGTGTGGGTATTTGTGATGGTCCTTCCTTCTCCTTTTTCCTTTTTATCCCTTAGTGTGTGTGTGCTGCATTTTGTTGGCGTGGTCTTGCCCTTCTCTTGTGGGGGTTCAGGGCCGTCATCTTACCACATACTGTTGCCTTGTCTCGTGTGGCACTGGCAGAGCTGCTCCAGGTTGCTTCAGATTTGGTTTTCCCTTTGCGCCAATTCGCAAGCTGTCTCTGGCGTAATTCACCTCCAGCCTGCTCTTGCGCTGCTTGCGCCGTCATGGTTCTTGGATTGGGTGCTCTCTTCTTTTCTCCTCGGTTTGTTGTAGCCCCTTCGGTTCTGGATTGTTTTCAGAGGCTCTTTTTCGTGTTGGCATTGGCCTCTGGGGGTCGGGTCGGGGTGCTTCATGCTTTCCTCCGGCGCCGGGGTTTGGCTCTTTTGGTTCTCCTGATAGATTTGTTCACTTGCAGCCATCTCCTACTTTTCTGTCGATGACTGATGCGGCTGCTTTCTGGAGGAGTCCTTGGGTTGTTGATGCTTGGTTGGTCTGGCCGCGGGTGCATCATGTGTTGTTCGGTTGTGGCGTTTCGCCGTCCTTTGTGTGCCACGGCTGCTGTAACCTGGGTCACGCTTTGGGTTGTTCCTGTCAATTTCCTTCTTCCCTGTTCCAGGGTACGGTTCTCTCGGGTCGTTCGTGGGGTGGTTAGGTCCTGCCAGCCTGCTGTCTATCCCCGTGCCTACGTTGTTCGTAGGTTGGCTATGCGTGCCTTCGTTGATGTTCCTGGGCTTTGTCGGGCCTGTATGGCCTTGGGTTGGCAGTTGCAATCTTTTGTCTCTACTTCACGTTTGGGAGTGAGCGACTTCCGCCTCCTGGGTTAGATCCCTCTTCTTTTTGTCTTTGGGTAGGTAGTTCCGGGGAACCAATGGGGCTTTCCCCAGAAAACCAGAGTTGAATGTTATGAAATGCCATTTTCTAGGTGAGACCCGGAGGCTCCCCGGCAACCCTCCCTCCTGTCGGTGGTTTTTCACGTGTTTTTGATATCCAGCCTCAGAACTGGGGTGTGGATGGCCATCGCGGGATTCTGGGGCTCCCCCTTCCCCCTCCCGGGGAGGGAAGAGGTGCGCAGATGGCGGCGCGATGACGTGAAGTCATATTCGGTTGCTCGTTTCTGTTTGGGGAGTTCTATCCACTTGTTCGGGTTTTTGTAGCAATTTTCACCAGAATAGGGGTTTGTTTTGGGACGCCTACCTTTCTGGGTGCCTAAACCTGGTCGATGGCAGACATAGAATGCTTCCAACCACACGGGGTTTTTATAGGCCATTGTTCCTCGCACCTCTCTGAGGGGGTCAGGTTCTGGCTTGTGGTGCCCGGTAGGCCCACAGAACTCCATACACATGACTGATGCCAAAGTCTGATATTAGCATATCAGCCTGGATAGCTCCGGGGAGCCTCCAGGTCTCACCTAGAAAAATGGCGTTTCATTACATTCAACTCTGGTATTTTGCATTTAGAATTGTATATGAATTACTTTGGTTCTTGCTAATGGTAATCAGTTACTTGTACAGTACTGCATCCAGTAAATTTCTCTCAAAATATTGCAAAAACAACAACGTTTGTATTATTACATTTAATATTTTAGGTAATTTTTTGATCATGTAGTTACTGTCAGAGGACTAGAAAGACATTGACGAGTTTTTTTTTTTTGTACGACAGAAGCGAGCATCCGTGCAACAAATGTCAGTCCAACCACCTCAACCTGCAAAAGGAGTGAGCGGTGTAAAACTGGGAATGTTTTATAAAAGTTTCCCCACGGGAAGCCTCGAGAAGGAAATAATAGATTCAACCGTCCCTATTATTGGTGAGTGTTTTGTGTCATTCTCTTTACTTTTAAACCTAAGCCAGTCAGTAGGGTTAGCAGGAACGTCATAATGGGAGTCATTTGTGGTTGTTTGTGAACCTCACTAGACCTGGGTGGGAATCCATAAGAGTGAGATTATTGGTCACTGTTCCTTCATTGTATAATGCCTGTTTGTGCCTTCACCCACCACTTCAGTTTCTCTCATCGTCATCACTGTTCTTGTCTGATCGGAGACATTCCAGTGTTCGTCCTCTTAGGATCTCTGTTTCACCTGACTGGTTCTCTTGAGAGTTGGGTGAATATTTGTTAATATAATTAGGCTAGTAATCTGGGCCAGTGACTTGTTGGTACTTACTGCTAGGTACTTACCCAGCAGTAAGCGGGAAGGTGGCGGGCCGCGCGGGCGGGAAGGTTGGTTGCCTGCCTGCATGTTTGATACCTGTGCTCTAGTGTAAAGAACACATTTTGGTATTGCAGGTGTGAGCTTCATTTTCAAGGAGATTTACTACAACCAGATGACTTTCTCGTGCCAACTTTGCCAGATGAGTCGCATCAACCAGGAGAATATGCTCACCCACCTCAAGTCATACGAGCACACCAACAGATATGTGGTAAGATGCTTTGCCTTTAGTACACATGGTAGAAGTCAAATAGGTATGATCTTCGGTATGCAGGCGATGAGTCACAATACGTGGCTGAAGTATGTTGACCAGACCACACACTAGAAGTTGAAGGGACGACGACGTTTCGGTCCGTCCTGGACCATTCTCAAGTCGATTGAGAATGGTCCAGGACGGACCGAAACGTTGTTGTCCCTTCAACTTCTAGTGTGTGGTCTGGTCAACAGGTATGATCTTAAGCACATTATGCTACACTGTACCTATGCCTGGGTATCTGGAGCCTCATATACCGGACTGGCAGTCGATGGAACTGTAGGTCGGTATTGGGTTTATTTTGGCATCAGGGGCCCCCCTCACATGGCAAGCAGGCTGCCAACCTCTATTGTCTCCCCCTCTAACCCTCATTGCAGCTTCCCCCCCCCCACACACCCTCACGGGAAGCAGCCAGGGTGATCAAACGAAGGAATTGCTAACCCAAGTTCTGGAGGAATTCAGGAGGGAGATGAATGAAATGAGGATTACAATTAACAATCTGCAAAGTGAGCTGGCATCAGCAAGGGAGGAGATCAAATCTCCCAGAGAAAAATAAAGAGACCGAGCATCAGATTATCATCCAAAGGGAAGGTGGGAATGTTACATTGGAAGGAAATGCCTCTGTACCTGAAACATTTGCAGATATACTGAAAAAGAGCTCAGAAGCAATGGACACAGTGAGGGAGGTAGCGATGCAGGCAGCTACCTCACAGGAAGCAGCAAGGTGCACCACTCAACTGCTGGAGAGAAAAAGATCAGTGGTAGTTGTAGGCATCAAAGAACAGGAAGGATCCAACAGGCAAGAATGGAATGGCAAGGATAGAGAGGCAGTACATGGGCTACTGAAGGGGTTACAGATGGAAGGGGCTGTACATAACATTGAGAAGGTTTTCAGGTTGGGCTGGTACAAGAAGGACAGAAACCGACTTGTAAAGGTGGTGTTTACAAACGAAACCACGAAGGAGGACATTCTCGAAAGGAAGAGTCGTCTGCAACATATGGAGGGATACAAAAAAGTATTCCTGCAGAGGGACAGGACGAAGGAGGAGAGAGCCAGGGCAGCAGATGCAAGGAGGAAGCGCAGGGAGAGAGGAGCAAACCAGGAAATCACAGCCCCCAACACAACAGTCCCAGAGACAAGAGGGCAACCCAAAACCAGCATCCCAGCAACACCAGAGGGGAGGGCAACACCACCACCCCCCTCTGCATAGAAACCCTCCCTTCCCCTCACCCTACCTGCCCCCACCCAACCCTCCCTCCCCCCCACCCCATTCTGACCCTGACACCCCTTCCCCATTCCCATCATGTCCCCCCCTCCCACCTTTCCCCCCCTCCCCCTTCATCCCATACCCTCCCTATCCCTCCTCCCCCCTCACCCCATATCCTCCATGTCCCCCCTATCTCCTTAACCCACACCCTACCTGTCCCCCCTTCCCTTAAACCCCCACCCCCCACCCCCAAATCCTCTGAGACCCTGCAAACCACCTCACAGATCCTCTCGCCCACGGAACAGATTCCCACACCAGCAGAATGCTCGCCAAGAAAGGGACATGAAAATGAACAGAAGAAAGTGAGCTTCAAGGCGATGTACACTAACATAGATGGGATTTCAAATAAAACAAGTGAACTTGGAGAATGGGCACTAGAAGAAAACCCAGACATAATAGCACTCACAGAAACTAAGTTAACGAAAATCATAACCAACGCAGTGTTTCCACAGGGCTACTATGTATGAGGAAAGAGAGAGAAGGAGAGGAGGAGGTGGTGTAGCTTTGCTACTAAGAGAAGGTTGGAGTTTCAAAGAGATGGTAATTCAGAACTGTGAAGGTTTCAGTGACTACATATTAGGCACCATAGCAACTGGAGGACAGAAAATTATAATAGTAGTCATATATAACCCCCCCACCAAATGACAGAAGACCCAGACAGGAATATGATAGAAACAACTTGGCCACCATCAATATAATAGAGAGAGCAGCTTCTGTGGCTAGCAGGAACAGATCCAGACTTCTAATCATGAAGACTTCAACCATGGGAAGATAGATTGGGGGAACAGAGACCCACATGGAGGCCCAGACACATGGAGAGCTAAGCTGCTATGTGGCAACAAGAAACTTTCTAAGTCAACACGTTAAGGGACCGACAAGAATGAGAGGAGGGGATGAACCAGCCTTGCTTGATCTGATATTTACCCTAAATGAGTCGGATATAAGGGAAGCTAAGTTGGAAGCCCCCCTTGGGAATGAGTGATCATAGTGTATTGAGCTTTGAGTACCTGGTTGAGGTGGGAATTATCACCCCCAAAAAAGAACTGGGAACCAAAGGGCTGGCGTACCGAAAGGGAAACTATGAGGAAATGAATAAATTCCTATGGGATATACATTGGGACACAGAACTCGGAACCAAGTCCGTACAAGACATGATGGACTATGTCACCCAAAAATGTCAGGAGGCTGTAAGTAGGTTTGTCCCAGCCCGACAGGAAAAAAACAGAGAAGCAAAGGAAGAATCCGTGGTTTAATAAGGAATGTATGAAAGCAAAGGAGCTGAACAAAAGGGCATGGAGGAACTTCCGTAATAACAGAACGCCAGAAAGTAGAGAGAGATACCAGAGAACCAGGAACGAGTATGTCAGTGTGAGAAGAGCAGCTGAGAAAAGGTATGAAAATGATATAGCTGATAAAGCAAAGACCGAACCAAAGCTACTACACAGTCACATCAGGAGGAAGACAACAGTGAAGGAACAGGTGTTTGAAACTTAGGGTGGGTGAGGACAGGTACACAGAGAATGGCAAAGAGGTGTGTGAAGAACTCAACAAAAGGTTCCAGGAGGTCTTTACAATAGAACAGGGAAATGTCACGGCGCTAGAAGAGGTGGCAACAAACCAGGTGACCTTGGATAGGTTCGAAATTACAAGAGATGAGGTCAAGAAGCACCAATTGGAGCTGGATGTGAGAAAAGCTGTTGGGCCGGGTGGAATCTCGCCATGGGTATTGAAAGAGTGTGCAGGAGCACTTTGCTTACCTCTCTCCATAGTGTATAGTAGGTCACTGGAAACGGGGGACCTACCAGAAATATGGAAGACTGCTAATGTAGTACCAATATACAAAAAGGGTGAGAGACAAGAGGCACTGAACTACAGGCCAGTGTCCTTAACTTGTATACCATGCAAGGTGATGGAGAAGATTGTGAGAAAAAACCTAGTAACACATCTGGAGAGAAGAGACTTCGTGACAACCCATCAACATGGGGTTCAGGAGGGTAAATCTTGCCTTATAGGCTTGATAGAATTCTACGATCAGGTGACAAAGATTAAACAAGAAAGAGAAGGGTGGGTGGACTGCATTTTTTTGGACTGTCGGAAAGCCTTTGACACAGTACCCCATAAAAGGTTGATGCATAAGCTGGAGAAACAGGCAGGAGTAACTGGTAGGGCGCTCCAGTGGATAAGGGGGTACTTAAACAATAGGAAGCAGAGAGTTACAGTGAGGGGTGAGACCTCAGACTGGTGTGAAGTCACCAGTGGAGTCCCATAGGGCTCTGTACTTGGACCTATCCTGTTCCTGATATACGTAAATGATCTCCCAGAGGGTATAGACTCATTCCTCTCAATGTTTGCTGACGACGCCAAAATTATGAGGAGGATTAGGACAGAGGAGGACATCTTGAGGCTTCAAGAAGACCTGGACAAGCTGCAGGAATGGTCGAACAAATGGCTGTTAGAGTTTAACCCAAGCAAATGTAATGTAATGAAGATAGGGGTAGGAAGCAGGAGACCAGATACAAGGTATCACTTGGGAGATGAAATACTTCAAGAGTCAGAGAGAGAGAAAGACCTGGGGGTTGATATCATGCCAGACCTGTCCCCTGAAGCTCATATCAAGAGGATAACAGCAGCAGCATATGCCAGGTTGGCTAACATAAGAATGGCCTTTAGAAACTTGTGTAAGGAATCTTTCAGAACATTATATACCACATATGTCAGACCAATCCTGGAGTATGCGGCTCCAGCATGGAGTTCATATCTAGTCAAGCATAAGACTAAAATGGAAAAGGTTCAAAGATTTGCCACCAGACTAGTACCCGAGCTGAGAGGTATGAGCTACGAGGAGAGACTACGGGAATTAAACATCACTTCGTTGCAAGACAGAAGAGTTAGGGGGACATGATCACCACATTCAAGATCCTCAAGGGAATCGACAGCGTTGATAAAGACAGGCTGTTTAACACAAGGGGCACACGCACTAGGGGACACAGGTGGAAACTGAGAGCCCAAATGAGCCACAGAGATAATAGAAAGAACTTTTTTAGTGTCAGAGTGGTTGACAAATGGAATGCATTAGGATGTGATGTGGTGGAGGCTGACTCCATACACAGTTTCAAGTGTAGATATGATAGAGCCCAATAGGCTCAGGAACCTGTACACCTGTTGATTGACAGTTGAGAGGCGGGACCAAAGAACCAGAGCTCAATCCCCGCAAGCACAACTAGGTGAGTACTGTGCTCCCCCCCACACCCTCACTGTTGCTCTCCCCCCCCCACCCTCACTGTTGCTCTCCCCCCCCCCACACCCCTCACTGTTGCTCTCCCCCCCCCCACACCCTCACTGTTGCTCTCCTCCCCCCCCACACCCTCACTGTTGCTCTCCCCCCCCCACACCCTCACTGTTGCTCTCCCCCCCCCCCACCCTCACTGTTGCTCTCCCCCCCCACACCCCTCACTGTTGCTCTCCCCCCCACACACCCTCACTGTTGCTCTCCCCCCCACACACCCTCACTGTTGCTCTCCCCCCCACACCCTCACTGTTGCTCTCCCCCCCCCACACCCTCACTGTTGCATTCCCCCCCCCACCACCTCACTGTTGCTCCCCCCCCCCCACACCCTCACTGTTGCTCTCCCCCCCCCACACACCCTTCACTGTTTGCTCTCCCCCCACCCCCCACACCCTCACTGTTGCTCTCCTCCCTCCCACACCCTCACTGTTGCTCTCCCCCCCACACCTTCACTGTTGCTCTCTCCCCCCCCCACACCTTCACTGTTGCTCTCCCCCTCCACTCCACCCTCACTGTTGCTCTCTCCCCCCCACACCCTCACTGTTTGCATTCCCCCCCCCCACACCCTCACTGTTGCTCTCCCCCCCCACACCTTCACTGTTGCTCTCCCCCCCCCACACCCTCACTGTTGCTCTCCCCCCCCCCACACCCTCACTGTTGCTCTCCCCCCCCACACCCTCACTGTTTGCATTCCACCCCCCCACACCCTCACTGTTGCTCTCCCCCCCACACCTTCACTGTTGCTCCTCTCCCCCCCCCACACCTTCACTGTTGCTCTCCCCACCCCCCACACAACCCTCACTGTTGCTCTCCCCACCCCCCACACCCTCACTGTTGCTCTCCCCCCCCACACCCTCACTGTTGCTCTCCCCCCCCACACCCTCACTGTTGCTCTCCCCCCCCCACACCCTCACTGTTTGCTCTCCCCCCCCCACACCCTCACTGTTTGCTCTCCCCCCCCCACACCCTCACTGTTGCTCTCCCCTCACACCCGCCCCCCCCCACCCCTCACTGTTGCTCTCCCCACCCCCCACACCCTCACTGTTGCTCTCCTCCCCCCACACCCTCACTGTTGCTCTCCCCCCACACCTTCACTGTTGCTCTCCCCCCCCACACCCTCACTGTTGCTCTCCCCCCCCCACACCCTCACTGTTGCTCTCCCCCCCCCCCCCCCACACCCTCACTGTTGCTGCTCCACCCCCCCCCACACCCTCACTGTTGCTCTCCCCCCCCACACCTTCACTGTTGCTCTCCCCCCCCACACCCTCACTGTTGCTCTCCCCCCCCACACCCTCACTGTTGCTCTCCCCCCCACACCCTCACTGTTGCTCTCCCCCCCCCCACACCCTCACTGTTGCTCTCTCCCCCCCCACACCGCTCACTGTTGCTCTCCCCCCCCCCCACACCCACCTTCACTTTTGCTCTCCCCCCCCCACACCCTCACTGTTGCTCTCCCCCCCCCACCCCTCACTGTTGCTCTCCCCCCCCAACACCCTCACTGTTGCTCTCCCCCCCCACACCCTCACTGTTGCTCTCCCCCCCCCCACACCCTCACTGTTGCTCTCCCCCCACACCCTCACTGTTGCTCTCCCCCCCCCCACACCCTCACTGTTGCATTCCCCCCCCCACACCCTCACTGTTGCTCTCCCCCCCCACCCCCACTGTTGCATTCCCCCCACACCCTCACTGTTGCTCTCCCCCCCCACACCCTCACTGTTGCTCTCCCCCCCCCACACCCTCACTGTTGCTCTCCCCCCCCCACACCCTCACTGTTGCTCTCCCCCCCCCCACACACCCTCACTGTTGCTCTCTCCCCCCCCACACCCTCACTGTTGCTCTCCCCCCCCACACCCTCACTGTTGCTCTCCCCCCCCACACCCTCACTGTTGCTCTCCCCCCCCCACACCCTCACTGTTGCTCTCCCCCCCCCACACCCTCACTGTTGCATTCCCCCCCCCCACACCCTCACTGTTGTCTCCCCCCCCACACCCTCACTGTTGCTCTCCCCCCCCACACACCCTCACTGTTGCTCTCCCCCCCCCCACACCCTCACTGTTGCTCTCCTACCCCCCCCCCACACCCTCACTGTTGCTCTCCCCCCCCCCCCCACACACCCTCACTGTTGCTCTCCCCCCCCCACACCCTCACTGTTGCTCTCCCCCCCCCACCCTCACTGTTGCTCTCCCCCCCCACACCCTCACTGTTGCTCTCCCCCCCCCACACCCTCACTGTTGCTCTCCCCCCCCACACCCTCACTGTTGCTCTCCCCCCCCACACCCTCACTCACTCTACGCTCCCCCCCCCACACCCTCACTGTTGCTCTCCCCCCCACACCCTCACTGTTGCTCTCCCCCCCCACACCCTCACTGTTGCTCTCCCCCCCACACCCTCACTGTTGCTCTCCCCCCCCACACCCTCACTGTTGCTCTCCCCCCCCCACACCCTCACTGTTGCTCTCCCCCCCCACACCCTCACTGTTGCTCTCCCCCCCCCCACACACCCTCACTTTTGCTCTCCCCCCCCACACACCCTCACTGTTGCTCTCCCCCCCCCACACCCTCACTGTTGCTCTCCCCCCCCCACACCCTCACTGTTGCTCTCCCTCCTCCCCCCCCACACCCTCACTGTTGCTCTCCCCCCCCACACCCTCACTGTTGCTCTCCCCCCCCACACACCCTCACTGTTGCTCTCCCCCCCCCACACCCTCACTGTTGCTCTTCCCCCCCCACACCCTCACTGTTGCTCTCTCCCCCCCACACCCTCACTGTTGCTCTCCTCCCCCCCACACCCTCACTGTTGCTCTCCCCCCCCACACCCTCACTGTTGCTCTCCCCCCCACACCCTCACTGTTGCTCTCCCCCCCCCACACCCTCACTGTTGCTCTGCTCCCCCCCCCCCCACACCCTCACTGTTGCTCTCCCCCCCCCACACCCTCACTGTTGCTCTCCCCCCCCCACACCCTCACTGTTGCTCTCCCCCCCCCCTCACCCTCACTGTTGCTCTTCCCCCCCCCACACCCTCACTGTTGCTCTCTTCCCCCCCACACCCTCACTGTTGCTCTCCCTCCCCCCCACACCCTCACTGTTGCTCTCCTCCCCCCACACCCTCACTGTTGCTCTCCCCCCCCACCCTCACTGTTGCTCTCCCCCCCCCCCACACCCTCACTGTTGCTCTCCCCCCCCCACACCACCCTCACTGTTGCTCTCCCCCCCCCACACCCTCACTGTTGCTCTCCCCCCCCCCCCCCAACACCCTCACTGTTGCTCTCCCCCCCACACCCTCACTGTTGCTCTCCCCCCCACACCCTCACTGTTGCTCTCCCCCCCCACACCCTCACTGTTGCTCTCCCCCCCACACCCACACTGTTGCTCTCCTCCCCCCCACACCCTCACTGTTGCTCTCCCCCCCACACCCTCACTGTTGCTCTCCCCCCCCCACACCCTCACTGTTGCTCTCCTCCCCCCCACACCCTCACTGTTGCTCTCCCCCCCACACCCTCACTGTTGCTCTCCCCCCCACACACTGTTGCTCTCCCCCCACACTGTTGCTCTCCTCCCCCCACACCCTCACTGTTGCTCTCCCCCCCACACCCTCACTGTTGCTCTCCTCCTCCCCACACCCTCACTGTTGCTCTCCTCCCCCCCACACCCTCACTGTTGCTCTCCTCCCCCCCCCACACCCTCACTGTTGCTCTCCCCCCACACCCTCACTGTTGCTCTCCCCCCCACACACCCTCACTGTTGCTCTCCCCATCCACACCTAGTTTTAGATCTGGTCTGCATGGCATGGGTAGGTCGAACATGTCCGCTCAACAATTGTACAGGATCGCTTTCCTTTTTTGGAAAACGTGTTGCTCGTGAACCCTCATTTTCCCTATCTTTTTCATAAATACATCTGTCATTTACACATTCTTACTCTGTACTTCCTTTAATTGAGCCCTGGTGTTCACGCTCCTATGTTCTTCAATTCTGTGAAGACCTCTTATCTGTGGCCAGTTTTGAGAGTATTCTACAATCGCAGCCTCACTGGTTGCCTCAATGAAGTTATTTGTATTTATGGCATGTAGGTTCACAGCCATCACAGCTTGGATGATCCCATACTTCCTGCAGGAGCTTTTCAAATTCCATCTTGAATATTTTAACTTCCAACTTTCTTTACTTGTTCCAAATATTTTGTTAGATTCATATTTGCCAATTTTTCTGCTAATAGATGTCTTTTTTTATAGGAGGTTAAGTTTCAAGAAAAGTTGACCAAGGCTGAACTAAAAGTCAGAAGAAAAGAGATCATGGAACTAGAGGGAAAGCTTCACCATCCTATTAAAGATTTCAGTAAGTTTAATTATTTTTATTATTTGCATTTTCTCATACAACTGGGTTTACAATATTTAACCCTTCCTGGGCACAAATCATGTCATCATGACATTTTACATTTTGCTTGGTAACAAATCCAACAGTCAAATTAATCCAAGAATTAACAGTACCCAAATTGTGAGGAGAGTAGATGGGAAATCCCTTGGTGGTGTTCACATCGACAACAAACTAAATTTCCATTGCCATATACAAAATATTACTAAAAAGGTTTCCAAAACAGTAGGCATTCTCTCCAAAGTCAGATAGTAAGTTCCTCGCCCTGCCCTAGTTCCTCTGTATTGTTCACTCATCAAATTCAAATTCAAAATTCAAATGTTTATTCAGGTAAAGTACATAAATACAAGGTGTAATACAAATATGGATGAATTGATAGATAGAGCTAGTACATACAATGCCTAAAGCCACCATTACACAAAGCATTTCGGGCAGAGGTTATCGCTATCTCGCCTGTTACGACCCTCTCGGGACGCAACGGGGTTCTCACTCTGATGTTGTTAGTCAGATATAGATATCCGTTCCCAAGCCAGTAGTGGCTATCAAGGGATGAGATCCGTGACGCAAGTAACTTAAGGGAGTAGGGAAAGAAAGCTAAGAACTTAATATTATAATTTTCACCATCACCGATTAAATATATATAATAAAAGAGTGCACAAGGGGGAGGGATATTAACACTTGACAAGGGGATTCTTCACAATGTAGTCTTCTGCTGAAGACTCTGGATCCATAAGCTAGGCGCTGAGTCCTTGGTGCTTTCTTCGTGGCCACACAACGAATTCTTCAAAGAAGCTGAGCCTACCCTGGCCACAGGTCAGCCAAAACACATGTCCACTGGGGGCACCGCCGTGGAGGCCGTCAACCACACGTCCAGCTGGTCTGCTGGCAGGTTCTGAGCCAACAAGGCTGGTACGGCCACTCCACGAACGATAAAAGGGGAACGCCCTAGACAGGAGCCTCGTGTGACACCACAAATCACTCTCCTGTCTTCAGTACCCCAGTGGATGATCGTCTCCAACAGTCGGTCCCGGGTAAATCCTTTTACTGCCACTCCACTGGCAGGCTAACACACCACAGTGTTCTTCCGGGGGGACGACTTCACAACAGCTGCAGCAAGGTTCAAGGTATGGAGACTGGCTGCCTCGGGTAGACTGACTCAACCTTCAACACAGCGGTCCCAGGTCGACTCTGTAAACAGACACGTCATCAATGACTGGGACACACTAAAACACCTCACTTACGGGCTCGGGCACAAACACCTGACGTATCCAGTCCATAGATGGCGCTGTCGTCGGAGCACCACCTCACCAGAGGTCGGTGGCGGCGGTGTAGAGTGCTGAACGGGACTGGAAACTGGCCCTTGTGGCCGGTATTCGCCGTCCTTACCAGGTGTCGTCGTCCGTTTGGCGGGGGTTTCGGGAGCTGACCCACAGATGGCGTGGTCGTTACTGCTCCGTGCTCGGACGCTGGATCCGGGTTCGTAACACCTCCCCACCAAAAAGAATTTGGTTTGGGGTTCTATAAAAAGAGACACAAACCAAATTAGTACGGCGACACAACTCCAAATGGACACACATGCTTTATAATCTGGGATGGCGAGGCTGTCTCGTCCACAGAACTGTCCTACTGGGCAATTCCGGCACAACGGGAACTTGAAGATTGAAGGCGATGTCCTGTCTGGCGTAACCTTCCACGTCTCCACTGCGATGTCAAGCAGGGGCGTCATCTCACATGTCTCACGGAAGGATCGGTGTAGACACGATCTGGGGCGTCTCGACACTTCCCTGCGTCGTGGCACCGATGATGGCTGATCCCAGACGGTATTTCTAGTACCGGTCCGGTGGTCCTTCAGGGAGACGGGAACCTGGAATACAGGGGTCTGATAATTCAGAGTGATAGCGACAGGGGATAAGTCAATACTTACTGCATACGCCTCTACTAGGCTTACACCTAGTTTCCACAGGGCTGCTTGCACGTCGCAGATGGCATTCGCTCTGCCACCGTCAGGTCGACCAACGTTCCGTATAACGCTGCATTGAGGCTCAGCTATCACGCGGGGGGTGTCAATCTGTCGGAAACAGTCACTCATATTATCATTTCTCGTACCTCCTGTATCTACCATTACCTTCCAGGTCCCTTCTTCAACTCCAACACTTGCAGTACCAATCTCCAATCCCTGGGACCTTTTCGCGATGTTCAAGGGAGCCATCATCCTTCGGGTCGTCCACTGATCCTTACTGAGAACACTGGGACACATACGAGCATCAAACAAAATATCGCTAAGAAACATGGGGCCAATTGAGGGATAAGCTTCCCGAGCCTTTCATGTCCATAACCGGCTATATCCATTAGCCTGGTTTGGACCCAAGAGGGCACTAGAACCTTTGCAGATACCTCACATACCTCCGACGTCTGGGGAATCTCTGCCGCAGCATACATTGTACTTTGCCAGGCTGCAAGTACACAGGTGCCTTCACTCCAGACTCTTCGGTATCCATGGGTGCTTGCACACAAGGCCTCTCTTCTTGTTCGGGTACTTCTGCCATCGTAACCTCATGTTCCTTGTCGAGAGAATTAGGAGACACTGTTAGAATACTGTCGATCTGCGGGTGAGAGGACAAATTAGACATGTTCAAATCCGGGTCTGTCTCTACCTGGACATTACCATGGCCCGTCGTTACCTCAGACCTTGCTGTTCTGGCTGACTCGTCCGCTATCTTGGGATGATTGGTGCTCCAATCGGTCACCAAGTCGTTGGCTAGTACCACGTCAATCCCAGCCACAGGGAGGGTATCGACTACTGCCAACTCACATGTGCCGCTGAAATAAGGCGAGTCAAGATGTACTGGCACTAAGGGGGCGATATACTGCGTTCTCGGAAACCCAACCAGGATAACTTCTGGTCTCCCATCCACACTTACTCCCTCGGGTAACGAGCTCTTCACGATCAGGGACTGGGCTGCTCCACTATCTCTGAGCACTACAACTGATGTACCAGTATGATCACTCGATACATACCCGCCTGAAGTGTGAGGGGAAAACAAACGTGGTCCTTCCTGCGTCGTCGTCGACTGGCTTCCTGCTGGTGGTGTAACACAGCTCATCATCATCACTTCCCTACGTGCGCTGCCACCTCTTTTGCCTCGGCACCTAGCAGCTATATGCCCTTTCTGCCCACAAGTCCAGCACACCATATTACTCCTCGGGCTCCGGTGTTTCGGACTGCTAGGACTTGTTCTTCGGGGGCTACTTGGGGGCGTCTTCTTAGCACTTTGTGGGACGGGTCTTTCCTCTTCTTCATGAGGTCTGTCAAACCGGTGTTGGTAATGCCTTGGGACGTACTTAGCAGACGGCCTATGAGTCAGGATGTACTCTTCAGCCATGGTGGCTGCTGCACTCAAGGTCTCTACCTGCTGTTCCTCTAAGTACGTCTTCAGGTCTACAAACAATCCTTGAAGTCCTCGAGCAGAATCAGCTGCTCGAGGTCTTCCTTGGTCTCCACCTTCCGAGAGGCACACCATTCTTGAAAAAGTCGCTCCTTGATGGTGGCGAATTCGGTGAAAGTGTGCTCTGAGGTCTTCTTCAGGTTTCTGAACTTTTGCCTATATGCCTCAGGTACCAATTGGTACGCCATGAGCACCACTTTCTTCACCATATCGTAATCGCCGGAGTCGTCAAGGGATAACGTAGAGTAGGCGATTTGGGCCTTCCCAGTCAAGACTGACTGTATCATGATTGCCCAATTCTCCCTTGGCCACTCCAAAGAGGCAGCGACTTTCTCGAAGGCTGCGAAGAACTTCGAAACTTCTCTCTCGTTGAATTTGGGGACCATTTTGATATTCCTTACCGGATCGAAACCGCTTGCTCCAGTTAGTCTCTGTCCAGCGCCTAATCGTAATACTTCTAGTTCATGTTGTCTCTGTCTCTTTTTTTTCTTCTCGTTTTCTCTCTCTCTTCTCTCTCTCGTTTCTCTTCTCTTTTTCTAATTCTAAACGCCTCATCGCCAATTCTTTTTCTTTTAATTCTCGTTCTAATTCTAACTTCTTCCACTCTATCTCGCGATTGATCTCTAGGGCACGCATTTTGACTGTTAGGAAGCTGATATTAAGTTCACCTGCATCACTGTCAATGTCACTGCCCTTATCTTCCTTTTCCGTGGAAGCTATTTCCTCACCTTCCCTTGTACTAGGAGTCTCGCCTTCCTGTTTCTCTTCTGCCTTCAGGTGCCGGTGAACCTTGGACAAGATCTCCACACGGGAATCACTGGCACGGATCTTGATCTCCAGGTAGGCGCTCACTAGTACAAGTTCCGGTTTGCTCAGATATTTTAATCTGGCAAGACAGTCCACTCTGTTCAGAAAAGCCTGCACATCATCCAGATCATCGATGGTAGCTTTTTCTGCCATTGTCACAGATGGAACACTCAACTAGAAACTAGCACTTGACACACCGCTTACACTTTAGCACTTCACGCACCGAGCACTGTTCTACGTCAATATTGCACTTTATCGCACCAAACACTGCACTTGCCAATATTGCACGTAATTACTTCGGGCACCGCACTACCCAATATTGTACTGAATCACAGCGAACACTTCGCTCTACAATATTGCACCGAATCACTGAGCACCGCACTACTCAATATTGCACTTAATCACTTAGTCACAGCGAGCACCGCACTGCACAATATCGCACTTAGTCACTCCGAGCACCGCACAGGACGTATAACGTCACAATCGTCACACAGGGGGAATTATATACAGGGATTACGCCACTTCACCACCCCTGTCAAACATACTTATCAAGGGGACGAATCCCGCTGGGGATGCTAATTATGTTATGACCCTCTCGGGACGCAACGGGGTTCTCACTCTGATGTTGTTAGAGTCAGATATAGATATCCGTTCCCAAGCCAGTAGTGGCTATCAAGGGATGAGATCCGTGACGCAAGTAACTTAAAGGGA